ATGTTGGTCCTGAACCTCAAATAGAGACAATTACTACTGAAATTAAAGACTATCTTTTTTGTCTGTTTTTCAGTTCTATCACAATAGCACAATAGACTGTGCTCATTGTTCTGTTCACTGGTCTTCCTGAAATATCTGAGAAGTGGTGGATCTCCAGACCAAATAAAATGACATGTTTGTCATTGAAGGTACATCTTCTCTACTCTGTCCCATTATTACAGCTAAGCAAATATTTCATAAACAATTATTTACATTTTAGTTGCTTCATAAATCTTCTGCAAACATCTTACTCAAATGAAACTTATTTAAAAGCTATACAAAAAATACAAATTAATTATTAACACCTTAGCTATAGGTGTGCCATGACATGGGGACACGGTTTAGTAACGGGACTCAGTAGTGAGGTTAATGGTTGGATTTCATGATCTTGAAGGTCTTCTCCAACCTAAATGATTCAATGATACTATTTCAGTTCTTGGTTTAGAAGAGGTTAACTTTTCTATGTGGTTTTCCAGTAGGAAGCATCAAGAACTTATTTTGAAAATGTGCTCACTGGTACCTCCTTAAGTTAACCACAACTTCCTGTTAGAAAATTCATTTAAAAGACAAAATACAGACAGCAAGCATGTGTGGGAAACTGACACATATTCGGGTTTTGTCTAAATACACAAATACATAATTTTAGTAATGATTCAGGTATATAACTAATCCTGCTTGAAGAAAATCCTTATTGATTTCCTACAGTTGATTAATAAATCTGTTGCTAGACTATTTATCAAAAGGAATCATGAAAAAAATCTATCTGGCAATTGCTCATAGTTCTTCATGTATTTTTCAAGCTCGTATTCCTTATTCTTCCCTCACTATCTCTTTTCCCAGTAAAATCCCCTCCAGTTCTTCAAAACCTACCCTTTCTTGAGAAGTCCTTTGCTTTGGATCCAGGCTTTTACTTTTTGTATAACCTTAACTTCAACTTTCAGAAATTTGCATGTATTATTACAACCACAAGATCATTACAGAACTAACTATTTACTAGCTCTGAAGGTACGAAGTGTATTTCTATGTACTTTTAGTATCTCCTGAAAAAACTATTGCTGAATGGACAGTAGCATTAACTTAAGAAATCAACAACATATATTCTCTCCCTGCTTCAAAATAAATACATTTTTAATGTTGCCTATTAAGCTTGAAAACTTGAAAGCTAAGTGCTTCCTCTTAGACAGGGTGAGCATCTGAAATAACTGTTTTTAACAGCCTCAGAGCATCATTAAACCTTTAACACATTTTAGAAGCATTTGACCTCCATGCCTTTTACATAAAAAGTTACTTAGAATTGGTAAATCAAACACTGCTAAGTAAAACAGTGTCTTGTCATTTACTTGTGCTTACTATTAGGTACTTTAATTAAGACTTTTGGAAGCAAGTTAGCAAACTAATTAATTTACAACTACAATAAAATTGTAAGGAACCCATTAAATATCATTAATAAGTCAATACATTACTTAGGAAATTAACTCTATTTTTATTACTAGAAATTACTATCGACTATCAAATGCCACAGTACCAATTACTTGTAGAAGGGAAAAAAAAAAACTTACATTAAATTAGTGTATTACTTCTCTACAATTTGTAATTTTTTATATTTTTGCTTTGTATCACACTGTATAAGTTGTAAGAAAGATGATTAGACAATCAATAGTTCAGGTTTTACGTACTGACAAACACGATCTGCTTCACGTTTAAGATAGCAACTTAAAATCAATTGGATGTAGAACTATAGGAAACGCTACCTGTTAACTAGCCTGATCCCAAACCTGCAGAAGTACAAGCAGCTTTTTCGGAGCTTTATAATCAGAATCTAGCCCCATGCCTCAGGAAAACTTTCTGTACACAAAAGTATTTAAAAACCTGAATCCATTTAAGATGCTAAAAAGCCCTTAATGAATTAAAGCTAGAGAGGTTGACAGAGTACATGAGAAGAATGGCGGTGATGAACTATGGCAATGGTAAGAGATGTATCAAATACACTTATGGCTCATCCTGAACATTAAACAAACGGAAACCCTCAGCTTGCAAAGATTTTCATTTTTCCTATCAACCTAACCTGATCAAGAATAATTAATTATATGATAGGATTTGGGGAATGTGAAGATATTGAAGGAACAAATCACTTTGACTTTCTAATATGTTGAATGGAAAAGAAAGGAGCACAAGGAATGAAATGTGGAGCACAACGACACTGATAGAGTTGTATTTCTCATCAACAAATTTTGGTTAGATGGGATTTCAATCTTGAACTTTTAAATTCAGAACTATAGAAAACTTCAGAATGTTATCAGCACATGATATTTATTTTTTATTTTTAAATTCCCAATAGGCTGTCATTTTTGCATTTTATATGCAAGAATCCCATTTTTCCCATGATTAAAGAACTTGCAAAACAGAATTTCCAATGTTCAAAAGCAAATCCCAATCCCAAACCTCTACCTTTGTCACACCTCTAGTAACATCTAATTTAGATTCAAACATACATTCAACTATGGAAATGGTAGACCATTTTCCTAAGATTTTCTATGCCCCTTAATTTGTTTTTAAATTGTACATATTGTGTATAAAAGACTTAGAAAAGTCAGGCAGAAGAGTTGCTATTGTTTCTTGGGTATTTCTTTTCCAAATGCACTTATGTTTTGGACTCTTCAGTGATATTAAGGTATCCAACTACCTAAACTGCATAGAAGCTTCTAACAGCTGCAGAAAAATTAAATATAGATGAATCTTTTCTTATTGCTTCCCGTATTTCCTCCAAGCCTAAAGTGACACCTTGGCTGCTCATCACTACTTGATTTCTAGTAAAATGGGCCCAGTCTTCACCTGTGTGCGGGGGGCATAGCAGTTTCAAGTATCTAAAAAATGAATGTATGGATTTCTTCCCTGGTTGTATTATTCATATAACATGTACTGTAAACAGAATAGAAGAGTAACCAATTGCAAAAATCTGTAGACAAAATAGGACAGTTGTTCCTTCTTATGCTCACAATATATTTTAATAGCCTCAGCAACCAACTTCTGTCATCTTCAGAACTTTTCCTGTGGAGAAGGGCTTGGGAATACTGGTGAATGAAAAACTGAATATGAGATGGTAATGTGTGCTTGCAGCCCAAGAAATCAACCATATCCTGGGCTGCATCAAAAGTAGTGTAGCTATCAGGTCATAGGAGGTGATTCTCCCCCTCTAGTGAGACCTGGAGTTCAGCATTCAGCTCTGGGACCCACAGCATAAGAAATACATGGACCTGTTAGAGCACATCCAGAGGAGGGCCACAGAGATGATCAGAGGGCTGGAGCACTTCTCCTATGAAGACAGACTGAGATAGTTGGGGTTACTTAGCCTAGAGAAGAAAAGGCTCCACGGAGAGCTTATAAATGTCTTCCAATATTTAAAGGGGGCCTGCAGGAAAGATGGGGAGAGACTCTTTATCAATGAATGTAGTGAAAGAACAGGGGTAACAGTTTTGAACTAAAAAAGTGTAGGTTTAGATTAGATACTAGGAAGACATTCATTATGAGGGTGGTGAAGCACTGGACCAAGTCGTCCAGAGAAGTCCACAGAGCAATCTCAAAATTGCTCAAAATTTGATCTAGCAGAAGGTGTCCCTGACTTCCACTAGAAGGGGGATTAGAACTAGATGATCTTTAAAATCCCTTCCAACCCACCCCATTGTATGATTCTATGTTGTTATGTGTCCAGTATTGGTATTAGTTTCTATCATGTCTCACTAAAACAACATGAACTTTTCACTCAGCCAACAGTGCTTTTCCTTGTCACGGATGGCTCTCCTTCAGGCATTCCCAAGAGAATTTATGTACTTTCATAGCAGCTGAACAATTTCTGCAGTCTGTTGCAATATACTCCCCAAACAATGTGGAATGAATGACTTCTCTCCCATTTACTTCTTTGATTTGCAGTGTTGAAATACTTTATTTTTCATCTTTACAGTTATACCAAGATGAGTTTTGTATGTCAGGAGAAGAGCAGATGCTTTCTGCCTGAATATGCCTTGCACTTTCAGCACAAGGTCAAGCTGTTCACTGTTGGAGCTTAGGGATCTTCATCTTTATCTATGAACAGTGCAATAAAGCCATTAATACAACTGACCTCTGTGGAGAGTAATGTAAATAATGAAAACAACATATACTCCCTAACAGATTTCCCTGTCATAGTTAGGCTGAAACGGAGGACATGCCACTGAGCAGTATTCTGAGTAAATCAAACTGAGAAAAGGTGTTAAGTGCTACAAGTAATAATATTCACTGACAAGCCACCTAAAGATTCCAGTACGTTTCACAATCTCCATAAAGATGGTATAACTAAAACACAGCTGCTTCTGACACAAAAGCACTGAATTTAAATACTTAAATTGATAATGAAGCTTGTATTTAAAAAGCTCCTTAACCTCCTGTTAAGGTTGCCCATTACTAAAATTCCACAAGCTGTATCGAGCTATTAGGGGTAACTCCACAATAACTTCTTTGGAACATTTCCAAAGAAATGTATGCTTTATAAAACCAACTTTACCATAGTTGTTCAAAAAAAAAACAACTCTGAAATTGTTACAAGAAACATCCAAAGATGACTTGAAAGATATCTTGTTTCAGAACCATTCATCCGTTCTATTTTCTGCTGCAGAAAGTGAAGTTGTCAGGATATGCATCTGGCAAGCCAGGAAAAGTACTGATCTGTTTTTTCCCAAATTGAATTTTCCTAGAAATTCATTCCAAAAGGGGGAAAGAAAGATCTTGTTCCCTTCAAGAAGTTAAAAACTTCTAACGCAACATTTTAAAAATATATTCTCTGGAACAGAATAGTAAAAACGAATATTTAAGTAACCTGTCAAATGAAAAACTTTAATTCTGTGAAGTTTCTTAGACAGAAAACATGCTCATATCTAAAAAGGCATCAAAACAGTATGAGCCAGAAACAATAAAATATGGTACATTACCTGTGCTGCAGTTCTTTATTGCAAAGGAATCCACGGCCGCTATGCTCTTGTTCCCATGAGCAACATACTCCAGTGAGATCCGAAACGGTTTCTCTAGATGTCCAACTCTCCTTTGAAGCAGTACCCATCTGCACTCATCATACAGAAAAGGGAAAGAACAAAGAAGAATGATAAGAAAAGTTATTTTACGAGGACCGAAGCCTCCAGAGAAGCAGCTTTGCATATGGCTGGCCATACTGTACTTTGCTCTCTCCTCCTGCCCCCCATCATCTCATGGTGCTCCATGGTCAGTGCCTTCCCCTCCCACAGATTTTGCAAAAGTAAGCTTCTAAGCACACAGATCTCCACAGAGTCCACAGACTTCTCAGAGATATCCGCCTGCTGTTTCAAAGAAGCTTAACTTTCTTTACAAAGCAAGCTGTGAAATCTGTAGCACACACGTATATGCTCTCTAGAGATCGCTCCCCCTGCTCCTCACTGGCAAAGGCTGTTAGTCAGACTTGGGCAATAAGCCAGTCTCAAGGACTTGTGCAAACATGGTAATTCCCAACACTGTGGTGCTGGTTGAGGTAGCATGCTTTGCTTCTGATGTGGCTGGCTGGAACGTCTAGACATATAAGAAGCACTACAACTAAAATATGTCATTTCTCTTTCTTTTTTGTTTGTTTGTTTTGTTTTGTTCATTTTGTTTTGGCCTTAAAGACAAACAAAGAGTTCTACCAAATAAATCAAGGAAATGGAATGGAGAAACAGTGCTGGAAAATAACATAGCTGACTGCAAGAGTGTTTCAACCTGGTCTGCTTGTTGCCACAAGTAAATGAGAACAGAAAATCTGTACGAACTTAGTCTACTCTCTGAGATGTCAGGAGACTTTAAGGGCTTGCCTTCTTCAACGTCTACGTCTACCCTCTGGATTGTTCAGCCTAGAGAAGAGGAGACTGAGGGGAGACCATGTCATGGCCTACAAAGGGGAGCAGAGCGGGAGGTGCTGATATCTTCTCTCTGGTGAACATCAATAGTACCCGAGGGAACAGCATGAAGCTACATCAGGGGAGGTTCAGGCTGGATATTACGAAAAGGTTCTTCACTGGGTGGGTGGTTGAGCTCTAGAACAGGCTCCCTAGGGAAGTGGTCATGACAGCAAGCCTGACAGAGATCAAAAACTGTTAGGGCAATGCTCTCAGACATTTCGTTTGATTTTTGGGTGGTCCTGTGTGGAGCCATCATTTGGAATTGATGTTCCATGTGGGTCCCTTCCAACCCAGGATATTGTATTGTAATTTTATGTCTTTCTTATACTGTAACATCTGTACACCCTAGAAATTTTCATGGAATCATAGAATCACTATGGAACAAAGTAACTATGATAACGCTCTCTGGCCCATTTCATCTTTCATTACTGTGTACAGGCTGCCAATAAAAACACTCAATGACACCATTTGTGAATGGATGCTTTCGGAGAGGCATGCATTACTCCTGCAGCTGTACAGAGTCCATCACCCATTTCACTGGTCACTCACCATAAACATGACCAGAGATGAGAGATTGTCTGTAAACCCATTCAGTCACTACTAACCCACTTTTCTGTTTTCTCTACTACTAATACACACACACAGATTTCTTTTTTAGCATATTGTACTTGGAGAAAAACAAGAAAATGGGTGTCTCATAAAACCTACTAGAAAATGCTCTTTACAGCTCCAGCTGCAGTTTTAAAGATGAGAACAAAAATTTACTGTGTTTCCTGAAGTTGCTTTCAAGTACCCAATATCAAGTATTTTTGTGGAAGACTATTTTTGGTTAACATAATTGGTCAGGTGCAACAGATTTTTCATTGCTCTATTACAATATCCTCTTGAAACTCAAATGTTTCCTTATCAAGTAGGACCATCACCCACCATAGATTTGTGACTGTGTGGGCTGTACACAAGAATACATTTGACTTAAGGGACGGAGAAACCCATTGCGACAGTTTTGAACAAAACAAACCATGTAGCTTAGTATGACAAAGAACCTCTTTCCACAGAAGTATGCCAAAATTTGGATGTTATCAAGCTAAGACACACTTCCAAATGGGAATAACAATATATATATCTACATGTGTTTTTCCCTGCCCTTCCCTCGCTCTGCCATTTGCACCAACCAACCAACCAACATCTGTGCCCACTATAAGGGAGGATCCATCCCAAATCACTGACCCTATACTTCTAATAGCTAGGAGACTTTTCTTTGTGTCAGAGGTAGACACACTTTTTATCTCAGCAGGAATGCAGCAGTGTCACTACCCTCTGTTCAATATGACACAATTCCCACCAGGCAAGGAAGGTGCCAACAGGTATGCTAAAGACCTAAATAAATGTCCTTAAGCAAGAACTGCAAAAAGGAACTGATGACAGCTAACCGTACAACTCACAGCTCTGAAAAGCAAACACTGTGGGGTTTTTCATTTGTTTTTTTATGTTTTTTTTTTTTTTTTTTTTTTTTTTTTGTGGTTTACCAGGTCTCTTTCTTCCTCCCTTTTCAGCAAGAACACTGAAACTAGACTTCTGAGTTTTATGCGTCTTTTACAGTTATCTTCATTTTCCACATTTCATCTCTTGTGCTTCAGGTTCCAGCTTCAGAAGATGATATAGTCATCCTCTCTCTCCTTTCTCATCCCCCTCACCCAAATGGATAACTCTGTTTTTACTGAAATTAAATAAAATGAAGCACTGAAAGTATTTTAAATGCCTAGCTTCTCTGTGCATTATTTCTTTTGATGTCATCTCAAGTTAGGTATATTACAAGGATTGAGGATATGAATTTCCGTACAAACAGGGTAAAAAAGAAGATTTAGATTTAATTTTTGTTATGAACTACAGAAGCATCTGTATGTCGCAAAAATTGTTTTCCTCGGTTTCAGAAGACTGATGGGTTTTAATTCCAAGTACGCAGTGGCTCTCAACAATGATTTCCATTTCTGTGCTACCGCTAACCCTCTGGATAAATGTGCCGAGAGTTTTAGGAATTGCTTTTCTGAGTTACTGGTGCAATAACTTCAGTTTGAAATTCTCGGGCTTCTCATAGTTTACCACAGAAACTTTATTAACTCCCAGAGCTGTTGCCAAGCAGGTATTTTATTTCTCTGTGATTGCAAGATGGGAAAAGGCAGATTCACTCAAGTTCAGATTCACTACAAAATATATTCCTGTTTTGTGGAACAAATTCCTACAATAGGTTGTCTGAGATTCAAAGATTCATGTGAAATTAATTCCCAAGTATCATCCTGCTTCTTCACAGACACAAAAATAAATGATCTGGAGATGACACTAACTGGTAGATTTATTAGGGAGACTAAAATAGCTACCAGGTCAGTACAGAGACCCATGAGCAAATCAAGATTGGAGTCAATTCTGCCATCAGTCTGCGGCAGCATAGGAACTCTGATTTCCAAATCTTTCCATACAATACCCTGTACTTAACAAAACCATACTCATTTGAAGATCCTTTAATAGAGGCCGTCTGGCAGTAGCAAGATGTACTTCAGTATAACTGATATGCATTAGATGTTAGCTAGTAGTAGATTTATTGTGAGTGGCATATGTTATGAATCTAATTTTAGAAAGCATTTTAACAAGGTGGCAGAAAAGCTACTTCAGTGATCTGCTGAGATATATGTGGCAATACCATGTGTGGAGTCTCTTCATCCTGATTTCACATTTAACCAAACTGGTAGCTTTCTATGGTGAGATGATGGGCTTGGTGGATGAGGGGAGCAGTAGACGTTGCTTAATCTGACTTTAGTAGGGCTTCCGACACTGTCTCCCATCATGTCCTCATCAACAAACTCCTGGAACTATAATTTAGGTAATCAGGCAGTGGAGCATCTGACATAGAAAGAGAGGCTGAGAAAATTGGGATTGGTTACCTTGGGGAAGAGAAGGCTCAGGGAGGATCATATCAGTGTTTACATCTTGTGGAAGGGTGTAAATAAGAGAGAACCAATCAGTCATATCTAATGAAAGGACAACAGGGAATGTGCATAGACTGAAATGCAAGAAATCCCTTATAAAGAAAACAAATGCTTAATCTAAGGATGATTTAACACTGGAAGACGTTGACCAGGAAGGTTATGGAGTCTCTATCCATACATTTTGTTCCTGACTATTCAAAATCTGACTGGATAAGGATCTCTGTAACTTCTTGCTAACCTTGCATAGGGCAAGGAAGTTGGGCTAGTAAATATCAGAGATCCCAACCAACTTCAACCATTCCGTGATTCTGCGAAACTGAGGTCCCAAAAGAAAATTACACCAGATAACAGATTGTTCCTGTTTTCCTCTGCATAACCTCCAAGCAGTGTACGGAATGATGAATAAGACTGGTAAGCTGACAACTGCAAGGACAAACGCATCAGTTACTGTGCATATAGCTATAATCTCCACTCAGCCTTCAATAGCAAAATCTTTTTTTACCACATCAGCCACAATAGCTAGGATGATCTCTCTAGCTCCTGCCACAATCAACAGGTAAGACCATGGCTTAACATCTTAATTTAATGTTTTATGCTGTAAAGCAACACACTATAACATTGTTTAGACACTGCTCAGAGTCTTGATTCAGCAGGCCAGACCCACTCAACAGGACTTTCACTGAAGTTATGTTCAGAAGAAGCTGGCTCAGCTCTGTCATTCTTCTACAAAGCAGAAAATGCTGCTGACAGAAACTGAGCTCAGTACAAGAGTTGAATTTTTAAGTGACCATCTGTACACTCATCTACTCCCTGTAAAGTGAAGGTATGCTAGAAACAGGGCCTCAGGAGTTGCATAGCCCTGAAAGAGTTAGGTGCTCAGACTGTAATGGTGAAGCACTTCTTTCTGACCTAACCTTCCTCTTAGTGCTTCCTCTGGCCTCCCATCCATGATTCAGTTTGCTAGATAGCAGGTGGTGCTTCCCTGCCTCTATATCACATGCAGTTACCCAGTTTCAGAAGCGCAATTGAGTTTTCATGGAAACTTAACTTCTGAGAGATATTTATAGTTTAGCTATTCTTTGATTGTTTGTGTAGTGTGCAGCTTCAGGAGGAACACATAACTGATTGATTCTAATCAATACACTACTGCATTAGATGCCTTGTTGCACGCTCTT